CCTTTGCCCAGGCCTGTTCCCTGTCCTAGTTGCAATCCTGGCCCTGATCCTTGTCCTAGTCCCAGTCTTGGTCCTGTTCTTGGTCCTGGTGCTGCTCCTGGTCCCAATCCCACGGGCAGTGGGAGCAGGGATTGTATGGGAGGGGAACATGTGGGTGTGAGTGTGGATATGTTCTGTCTGGATGGATACAGAGACATGTGAGGGCCAGAACTGTAGAATCATGGAGTTGGTTTGGTTGGGAGAGACCTTTGAGAGCATGGAGTCCAACCATTGCCCCAGCACTGCCAGGTCCCCACTGCCCCGTGTCCCTCACCCCACATCTCCACAGCTTGGAAACCCCTCCAGGGGTGGGGACTCCACCACTGCCCTGGGCAGCCTGGCACAGCCCTGGGCAACCCTCAAAGGGGGTGAAATTGTTCCTCACACCCAACCTCAACCTCCTCTTGTAAAAGGTCAAAAAGCTCAATCATCTAAAGAGTCTTTGGCAAGGGTCACACGGGATAAATTTTAATCTGATTTACTGTCCTAATTATGTGTTATCCAAACTACCAAAGCTCAAACTGATGCATCCCAGCTGCAGGGTGGGACTGGACCACAGCTCCCCGTGGGGCAGCAGATACCCTGGGGAGAGGGGGAGGGTTTGGGCAGGAGCATCGTTGGGTCCCACTTGATCCCACGGCTCCAGGGGCGCTGAGGGGCAGGTTGGGGGGGTGATGCCTCCCAGCTGCCCTCCCTCCCCTGGCCCTGCAGGAGTACCCGTTGGCAGCCCTGGCAGGGACCACTTGCCACTGTGGTTTCCCCACCACCCTCTTCACCCTGCACGAGAGGGAGGATGAGCAGCTCTGTGCCCAGAAATGCCCCGGCGAGGACTTCGAGAGCTGTGGCACCGCCGAGTTCCTCCTGGTCTACCAGACCCAAGTGCAAGGTGACTTCACCCACCTAATGCCAGCCAGGGACCCTTGCCAGGGGTGCCCTGACCCCCTTCCCAGTGATGCCTGAGAGCCTGGGCTTGCAGCATTTCTTTGGCTTTCATTAAAAATGATCTTTTACTTGAATTCCCTGGGCAGTGGAGCCTCTCCTGAGCGAGCAGCTGGAGTTGCTGCCTGGCTCAGCAGCAGCAGAGAGCCCTTTGCCATCTGCCTCTGGTAGCACCAGCAAGCCAGAGGCTGCAGCTGGCCAGTGAACCCTCTAGGGCTTGGCCAGACAGAGGGGACAGGCTCTGGGGACAAAGAGGGGGGGAAAAAAGCTGTGGCCAGGCAGCGAGTCCCCGGGAGGTTGGGCAGAGCTGGCTCCTGTCCTCCACCACCCTGCAGGGCCCAGCAGTGGGGATGGGGAAGGACAGGGCGAGGGGAAACCTCTTAGTGGGAGAGGAGAGGGCTGAAGGGAGCAAGGGAGGCCCCAAATTCAGGTGGTTTTGCTTCAGAGCAGCTCAGCCATCACAGGATCCCCACTTTGGCATCCCAGGCCGTGCTGGAAATGCTATAAAAAGCAGGAGGGATGCTTGGCAGATGCCCCTGGGTTATTCACTGTCTCCTCATCACGTGGCAGAGCAGCTCCTGCCCTCTTCTTGGGACTTTTGGGGGTATTGAGGGATTTTTGGGGGTGTTTAGGACTCTTTGGGCCGCCCTTAGGTGCTTTAGGTGCCTTTCCCCGTAGCAGCCACCTCCTCACACCCTGCCCCAGCCCCTTCCTGGGAGGAAGAGGAGTAGCTCTGTAGGAGAAGCACGTTCCCTGATGGGCTCTTCTCCCCACAGACAACCGCTGCATGGACAGGAGGTTCCTCCCAACCCGTGCCAAGCAGCTGGTGGCCCTGGCCAGCTTCCCTGGTGCTGGCAACACGTGGGCAAGGCACCTGATCGAGCTGGCCACAGGCTTCTACACGGGCAGCTACTACTTCGATGGCTCTCTCTACAACAAAGGTGAGAGGGGAGCTCCTTGCTGGGCCCACCTGAGCTGGGAGAAGGTCCTGCTGCCATCCCTTGGGGCTGCAGGAAGATGGGGGCAAGGCTGGGTACCACCGATGCTGCTGGGTGGGGATGTGTCCTGGTTCAGAGGGACCCCACGTCACGTGTGCCCTGTCCCCCCGTGCTGCCCCCTGACCTTGGCAGGGAGCAATTTGGGGGTTCTTCCATCATTCTGGTGGGTTTTAAGCTGCTGGGGGGGTTGGAACTTTCTAGGGGAGGAACTGGAGCAGCTCCAACCTTGGCAGACAAAGCGATTCCTGCGTTTTTTTCCCCCCCATGACAAGGACAATGGGGAAGTTTTGCCCCAATTTTGCCAGGAGCTGGTGTCTGTGGGCTCCAGACATAAAGTCTGAGGCATAAAGTGAGGAGCTGTGGGGGGAGGAGGACTTGTTGCAGCCTTCCAGCTTCCCAGTGGGAGGACAAATATCCCCACGTGCTTCCCAGGGAGCTGCAGGGAATAACAGTGACGTGCCAGGGCCCCTGGAGTGGGTGGTGCCATGTGGGCATCCAGGGCACCTGAATTAAGCAGTGAGGGTAAATTTAAAGCCAAAAAAAAAGCTTGGAGACAGGCAGGAAGCTTTTTCAGGCAGAAAACAGCTCCATAACCCATCATACTGCAAGGGGAAGGGAAAACACCAATTCCCCCCTTTTATAGCTGTTGATAATAGTTTTATTCTTCCACTCTGAAGGTTTCTCCTTCTTTTGCTTCCTTTTCTGCAGCTCTGAGAGGAAATCCTCCTCTCCTCCTCAGCCGTGAGGGTACCCACGTAGCTGGTGGGGTCTGTAGCCAGGGTAGAGGTGCAGCCGACTGGAATTGCACCCAAAATCCCCTAAAAAGGGGAAAATCTCTTGGAGATTTGCCTGATTCAACCTTTCAGAGATGGAGAGGGGGAGCCCTGATTGCATCAGCCCCTGGCACTGTCACCCAGGCCAGGGTGCTGCTGGTGTTGGGCATCCCACAGAGGGGGGCATCACCAGGAAAGAACCTTGGTGAGGTTTTTCTCATCTCCCTGAGTTTATTCCTCACTGGAGAGGCTGGAGGTACCCAGGCAATGGGCAGAGCAGCACGGCGTGGCTGAGGGAGCAGAGGACCCATCTGTGATTGATGTCCTACAGCTCCTCATCTCCCACCAACACACCACTCCTGGGTTGTGCTTTGCAGGTCTGGGGGCACAGAGGGGCTGGGACAGTGCTGGGCTCAGCCCTGACACCCTGGGGGGGGGCTCAAGGGGGATGCCAGTCCCCTCTGGACCCCCCTCATGGCATCACTGTAGCTCCATGGGCATGGAGGGGGTTGCTCTTCATGCATTAAGGGGGTTGAAATGCTGTGGTCAGGGCTGTAAGAGCGTTTTTGACCCCAGCAGCACGAGCACAGGGTGAGCTGATGGTGCAAACTCCCACCAGCACCCCCTGCCATGGGGTGGGCAGTGCCAGGCTGCTGTAGAAGCTCCTGTTGAGAAGAGCTGAGCACCCCTGGCGAGAAAACAGCCCTGCTCAAGCCCCATCCCTGCTCCCACCTTCTCCTCTGTGGATTTCGTCGCTCCTCACTTGGATCCATAACTGCTTTCGGGGTGGGAGAAGGATGGAAATTCTCCTTCCAGCCCCAGTTACCTTCACCCAGCTGATTCCCCCCCCTCCCAAATCCTTCCTCTTCCCCAGCTCTCCTCCGTGGGTAGGCAGCAGGCTCTCCTCTTGCTGTCTCCTGACAGGGTTCAAGGGTGAACGGGACCACTGGCGCAGCGGGAGGACCATCTGCATCAAAACCCACGAGAGTGGGCAGAAGGAGATCGAGGCCTTCGACGCTGCCATCCTGCTCATCAGGAACCCCTACAAGGCTCTCATGGCCGAGTTCAACCGTAAATTCGGGGGGCACATCGGCTTCGCCGCCCACGCCCACTGGCAGGGCAAAGGTGGGACCCTGGTCCCTGCCTGGGGGAGCCCCAGCTCCAGCTCAGGGGGTGGGAAGTTGGTGGGGAAGCCCTGTGGAGCTCCAGCGTGGTGCCCGTGGGGGGATAGCCAGGCTGTGCTACCTTTTTGGGGTGACCTAACCTTAGTTTTAGGTCCAAGAAGGAGCTTGAGGGGCTGGAGCGTGGGCAGAGAAGGGTGATGAAGCTGCTGGGGAAGGGGCTAGAGGCCAAGTGTGGGGAGGAGCAGCTGAGGGAGCTGGGGGTGCTGAGCCTGGAGCGGGGTTTCAGGGAGTGGGGCACACAAAGGATGCTTCTGTATATGCTTCAGATGGAGGTTGGGCTCTTCTCCCAAGGAATAAGTGATAGGACAAGAGGAAACAGCCTCAAGTTGCCCCAGGGGAGGTTTAGGTTGGATGTTAGGAAAAATTTCTTCCCCAAAAGTGTTGTCAAGCCCTGGCCCAGGCTGCCCAGGGCACTGGTGGAGTCCCCACCCCTGGAGGGGTTTCCAAGCTGTGGAGATGTGGGGTGAGGGACACGGGGCAGTGGGGACCTGGCAGTGCTGGGAGGATGGTTGGACTTGATGACCTTAAAGGTCTTTTCTAATCTAAATGATTCTAGGATTCTTTGAAAAGCCACCAGGGAGGGCGTGGGACCATCTCCAGCCCCACTGGCACGTGGAGAGGAGGAAATCCAGGCCCATAACAGCAACAGCAGCAGAAGCTCCCCTTAAATAAACCCTGAATTAAGGGTAGCAGATGTTCAATCAAGCTAAATATTTTAACTCTTTCCAATGAAGTCAGTTCCACAACAGCAATTTGTAAATTGCTGTAATTAACGAGGCTCCCAGAGAGGCAGGGGGGAGGCAGCATCTCCAGAGCAGCTGGGCACACAGTGATGCCACCCAGATGCCACCCTGGCCACCAAGCAGGGCTGGTGGCTACCACCACTCCTGGCACTGGCCAGAGGGAGCCCTGCAAGGGGCTGGGAACAAGAAATTGTCCCTCGTGTCCAACCTAAGCCCAGCTTGAGGCTGTTCCCTCT